AATTAGTCAACAGGCAGAACAGAAATCCAGGGTCCACGTGATTCCAGAGCCCATGCTCACTGCCCTAAGGCAGAACTTCTATCTTCTAATTTTCAGTTCAAGATTCTTTGTGCTATATGATGTGGGTTTTCTTTTTTCTAACTGCAAAAATACTTTATCTATTCAAACTGAATGGCCAATATTTAAAAAGATACTGAGCTCTGTCCAAGCTTCAAATTAGAAAGGAGATGATATAAATAGTCCTGAGTAATAGGGGAATACCAATATTTAAATAAACATTTATTACTACTGATTTACTACCATTAATCCACAATAAAATAAATGAGGTTGATCTGTATTTATATGTTTTTTAAGTGCTCAAAATAGCATTAATTGAATGTTAAGTTATCACCCACCTGCAAAGTATCTGCAAATATTACGATGAGATTCTTAAGTTCCAGAACAAGATCAGGATCAGTGCAGTAAGACTGAAGGAGTGGTGGATGCATAGATGTGGGAGTGGAAACAAACATACAAAATAACAACAACAAAAGAGTCATTCTGTTAAAAACTAAGAAATAAGAACCTGAACATTCTTCTGTTAACCTGCGAGACTTACAGTAAATTTAAAATCTTGGTGAGTTAGATCCACAGCTGGCTTCCTCTATTCAGTATAAATTCGTAGGGAGAGAACATAACATGACATATCTAAAATAACTGTATCATATGAAAAAAAAATGTCCTGAACTCTGTACACACTAAACATCGGTTGAAGTAATGATTTCTATATTTCTAAAAGTCTTTAGATTTTTAAGGAACTATTTATTTTAAACTAAGAAAATAGTTTATATACAGACCATGTATTTTCCTTTTCATTTATTTATTCTCCATCGTATAAAAGAGACACAATATATTACTTTTTCCAATATAAAAATGACAATTCAAGTATTTTCTTAGTAATTAACCAAAAGAAAATTCTTGATTTCAAAGGGAGTGAAAATCACTCTGTCCCTTTAACGGCATTTAATAAGATTTTTAATGTGATATGTTGCATTTAATATGTTATGAGTTCATATTTTATGTCATGAAATTAATAGGAAACATACTATAATTTTATATATTCAGAGCTGATCTAAATATAAACCAC